AGGGGCTTTCCCCGCCGCTGCCCTGAGCAAACGCCCTTGCGCCGGCACTCTCGGGAGCATCTTGGTCTCTCCAGCCACAGGGTCCCTCGCCAGCTACGTGGTAACCAGAGCCGAGACACAGAAATGCTCCGACTTCTGGATTTACCTGGAGACGGGCAAGTCCCCCCAGGAGCTCGCCGTGGCTGGTAGGGCGTCTCAGCCCGCAGGTACGTCCACATCTCTTCCTGCTGCTCTCCCTGGTCTTGTCCTGCCTGGTTCTTCCCTGCTGCAACAGTTTGCTGTTCCCGCCTCGTAATTAAGCTGGTGACTGTTTGTGTCGTTGCCAAAATCCCCATAAAAGTCCTACACCGACATCCCGCAGCCGAGGGATGGGAGCAGGCACCCGGGCTGGCCGGAGCTCCCTGCCTGGCCCCTGGCTCCTGTGTCCCTCCGTGCTCCGGTCCCCCCGCCTGCACTGCAGGTACCCGAGCAGGGCTGGCGACGTGGGGTGGGAGTGCTCGCTTCTGCCTGCTGCCCTGCCTGCTTTGTGGATTCACGAGAGCCAGCGTGAAGGGCTCGTTTGCTGGAAGAGGAAGAAGAGGGTAGGGGATGGAGGGAGGCAGTAAACCCCTCCACGCCTCGGTTGCTCTGTACAGTGGGCAGAGCCGGAGGGACAAGACGACAGCGCTGCTGGGCAGTTCCTGCGGCTGCTTGCTGCTTTCTCCCACTGGCACCTTGAGCTCCCAAAGCCGGGCCTCGCTGAAGAGGCTTTGAATGCTTCACAAGGGCTCTGTGGTTCTCTGCCTGCCCCTCCAAACACGCCGGGGCAGTCAGGGGTCCAGGGAGTTTGTTCTTTCTCTTGCAGAAAATCTGCCCAGCCCGGAGGACAGGGAGAGCGCGGCGCCGCTGGTGAGGAGGAACAAGTACGGGGATGTCGTGGAGTAGCCAGCAGAGCACAGCGCACCGGGCCCATGTCCTGCTTCGCTCCTTGCTGCCTGCCCAGCCTGCCTGTGCCTGTGCTGTCTGCGAGACTGGTGGGCTCCGTGGCGCTGCCCCGGAGCTCGGATGAGTCGATCCTGCAGTCAGAGCGTGGTGGAGGCACCGTAGGGATTGCTGCCTCCCAGGCGGCCTCTGAACATCGCACGCGGGGAGTGCAATAAAAGTCGAGAGCTGAAAGCGCGCGCTGGTGAAGCGAGGGCTGGCGGTGGGACAGGAGGAGCTGGGGTGAGGTGGCAGATGTCACCCGGAGGCAGCCCTTGCGGTAGATGTTGGAGCAGAGAACTCTGGGCCCTCGGAGGCCACGGCACCCACAATCTGATGGCACAGAGCTGTGAAGTGACCACTGGCACGGATGGGTCTGGGCTCTGCTGTGAGGGGCAGAG